GAAATCTCAACTGCAGCAGCCCACAGTACTTGGAGGAAAATCAATCATCGTTTCCACCCCGCCGCGTGTGCTACTAAAATTAAGAATTGATGTTCGACTGCAAAGGAAAATTATTTCAAGAGAACCACCTTAGCAGCAGTTCTCAGCATTCATAAAACTCCTGTTTATGGTTCTTCTCATAGCAGACAAACTCTTACATCCCACTATGAATTATAAGTATTAATGGGTGATTGTGATTTACATGCAGTTTCCATCTTAATGGGCATCAAAAATGCAGGCAGGGCAACAGCACCTCTTAGGGTGCAGCAGCACCTCTTAGCAAGCAGTAAACAAGTCATCAACCTAAAGACATCATAAACCAAAGCGTTAAACGCCCCAATAATAATTATACCTCCCCCACATCCCAATGAAACTTCATTTTATTTAGGCAGTGCCTTTTTCATAAAGACAGGCTGCCTGACGAGCTGGAAAGAGAGACATCCGAAGAAGCACTTAAGTGTGATGTGGCCTAAATATTTTAGTAACGTGCGATGTCCATTTGAAAGCACCTCTCTCCAGATCTTGTTCCATTTATTGCATCCTATGCAACCTGCACGATCCGGGGAAATGTGCACACTGCATTAAATGTTCCTCTGGCGTGTGGCACCTATTCCTTAAGATAATTCCTGTCCCTCTAGCAGCACCTCTTTAACAGCAAAGCAATTGCCATTTGCAAGTTGTTCTTTATGCTCACGACAGTGCCATGCAGCATCATTTACCCCGGATTGTCCCACTTGCCTAACTGAAACCCTGAAAAACCCTGCCCTCCTCTCTGCAAATGAAAGCTGCTCTCGGCTGGGTTTCTGCAGCCAGTTCTCTCCAGCTCTGTGTGGTGGAGATTGTGGTGGTAACAATTTTGCTTGGCTTCTGTGGGGCTGAAACCAGGTCTGCAGCTTTGTGAGGAGACAGAGCAATTGGCAGAGCCAAAGTTTAGGAAGAGCCACGGCCAAGTCCATCATCGATCCTGGCCTCCGTCTGCCTTCCAGATATTCACACCGGGTCTGTGGACCTCAACCCTTCCAAGGCGCTCAGCAGCCTAAAAATCACTCTCAGAAACGATGAGCACTGCCCCAAAAGAGGCTTTTCCACAACCAGCTTACTTTTAACCACTTGTTCCTCACAGCCACTGCTCTGCTAGCTCATAACCATCCACAGGAGAGATTCAACTGTCCTTTTCTGCTGAGCTCTGGTCTTTGATACCCACCAGCTCTTGCTGGTTGAGAGACCAAAAGCTCTTCTGTGATTTTCAGCTCAAATCTGTTGCAGAAAGGAGCAACACTGTCTTCAAATATTAAATATTTGAATGCAATATTTATGTATTTCTATATTAAAATATTTTATCAGCGCTTAGTGGGGTGCAGTGACTAATTACCATGCTTCAAGCAGTGCTCGTGGTACTACCACGGTGGAATCTGCCTCTTCCATGGCTCCGGTGGAAATTATCCTCCCACCTTCTCAGCATTCCCTCCTAAGGTGGTGGGGAGAAACCGCATGGCTCTGCTCCTGCTGTGCCCTCCTGTTTCTCTTTCAAGTCACACACCCCATCTGCTTCAAAAATAGGTTAGTCAACTTTTAGAATTCAATAACTGACTTTGATAGAGAAATTACTGTTCCAATACATGGTAAATGACAGCAGTCTAGAACACTGTGAAATTTAAGTCTGGAAAATGAACTTTAATAAAATGTGTGCCAATAACGGACTGTGACAGCTTTTAGTGAATTCAGCACCAATACTTTGACTCTCCCAGGAACGCAGCGAGATATATTCGAGCAGCCTTGAGCCTCGGAATAAGGAAGCAGACAGCTTTATGATAAATAGCCCTAGAAACCTAAATTACAGCTGCAGCAAATGAACAATATGCTGGAATGACTCGGTAGCGTTTTGTTGCAGCGCCGAGCGCCGCGGACAGCGTCTCTGAACACGAGTGTGCACTGACACCTAGCGGGACGGCCCCGGGGAAGGAACCAGCCCCATGGAGCGAGCACCCGTAACCACCCCATAGCGTCTTGATGCTTTCTATATGTATATATTACATAGAGAGAGCATGCCCTCCCGCTGCCTCTTCATCATGTCTTGCAAGGCATTCAGAAGTCTTGCAAAAAAAGTGCTTTTTTATTTATTTATAAGAAGTGTTTGCCCCCACTGATGCTAAACACTGGCAAGATGTGGTAGAACATTGGGTTATGGGTGGACTTTCTTGTTCTCTAAAGAGTTTTGATTTCTTCAGGCTGCACCTTTGCCTGCCCAAAGACCAGATGGTCACCTCTCCTTGCCTCCTCTTTCCTTGCCAGGGTCCCATCCCATGTGCTCCTTATGCAAGGGCCTGGATGGGGAAGAAAGCAAAGGATTTACCATGGATCAGTCAAGGGTTACTGATCCTTGAGCAGTGAAATTGCAAGGAAATGTGAGAGGAGGCTACAGTGCAACCTGCTATGCAGGGTGCTGTAATTCCGTGCAATCCTTTTGGGACTACGTGAAACTTTCCTCAGTCTGAACACGTCCTGCTGCTTTCTCTGCCACAGAAAGTGGCTGCTTGAGTCCAGCGTTACCAGTGATGGTACCAAGCGACGCTACCAGGAGGAGGGCTGGGAACACCCAGCTGGAACCTGGAATGGGCTCCCTGGGGTGCGGCTGGCAGAAGGGATGATCCTCAGGACACCTTCCAAGAGCTGGATGGAGGAGCGGGATTTTCTTAGGAGAATTTGTAAAGAAAATGGAGAAAGAGGCACGAGATGGAGCACCAGCCAGAACAGGACTCACGTGGACTCCTGCCGTCCCCATACATAGAGGCAAATATACATAGACACACACGTATGTGCATGCCAGACACATATATGTGTGTACATATACACACACTTTATATGTGTATATGCATATATGCATGTATACAAATATACACACACATATACATATGTGCATCTATACACATGTATGTACATATATACATATGCTTTATGTGTATATGCATATATACATTTATACAGACACACATGTACAGATATGCACATGCTTTATATATGTGTATACAAACATACACATGTATACATATACACACATGTACACATATATGCATATATAGGTGTATATACTCATGCTTTATAGATGTGTATATGCAAATATACATGTATACATATGCACACATATGCATATATAGGTATACATGCACAAATGTTATGTGTTTATGCATATAAACATGTATACACATGTACATGTATACACATATATGTAAACACATATATGAATGTACACATATACACAGATACACTATCTGTGTATATACATATACATATATACACATATGTATATAGACATATATATGTATATACATATATATGTATATACATATACATATACATACATATACATTATATACATATACATATACATACATATACATTATATACATATACATATACATATACATATACATATACGTATATACATAAATACGTTTGTACATATATACACACATATATACATACATATGTATATGCATATACACACGTATGTCCCTATCTATAGACACGGCGTCATGGCGCTACAGAGGGCGGTAGAGGGCAGCTCCGCGGCGAGGGGGGCGGCGCCATCCGCGCCGCCAGGCTCCGTGGCAGAGCGGGCCCGCAGCGGAGAGCGGCCCCGGGGCGGCAGCAGCGGCGGGAGCCGGTGCCCCCGCTCGTCCCGGTGTCCCCGCTCGTCCCGGTGCCGGTCCCGGTAGCAGCCGCCGGC